TCGACCCTCGTGGCGTCCCGCATTCCAGGCACAACCTCGCAAATTTCCCTCCCCCCCCCACGCCATCTTGGTTCCTTCCCCAACCTCGGGGTACAGTTCGATTTTCACCCCACAGTTGTAGTCCTAGTGGCGGGGAGAGGGGAGGGAGGAGATGCCAGCAGTCTTCTGGGCTAAATGCAGCTTTGCTTTTCACACACACACCCCCACGCAGAACCATCCTTCCTGGTTCCCCTTTTTTTTAAACAAAAAAAAAACAAGAACCGAAACCGAAAGTTGAGTCAGCCTCCCGGAGGGGGGAACCTCCCAGCGCGGTGAAGGAAGGAGAACGAAGACTCCGGATTGTTCCTGGCCGGACAGTCTGGCTCAGTCAGGTCAGCCCGGTACGGAAGAAGGCGATATCTGAAGAAGTCCACTTGGTCTTTTCCGCCCTGGGAAGATTCCTCTCAAAAACTTCGGAAGAAGTCCAGCAGCGGAGAGCTTGGGAAACGTTGCGACGCCCCCACCCCATTTCCTACCCCGACTGCCTGCCTAGGAGCTCATCGGGGACCCCATTGAGAGGGGCGGGTGACGGGGAGGTCCCCACCCTCGTCCCCTTGCCCAGCCACCCCCAGGAAAGGGAGGGATCTTGGGACGCCCAGCTCTTCCCCTCCCACACACACACACCTGGCGGCTCTTCCCCATTTTCTCCACCCCAAGGTAAGGAACAAAGGGGGACGCGGAGGCTCAGAACGGTCCCCCCTTTCCGGGGAGGAAGGCAGGCGTGTGGCCGGTAGAAGGGGAAGGGGGGGAAAGAACAAACATCTGGGGGTTTCCTGGAGGGGGAGGCGCTCAGTACATCTTCTGTCGGCTAGGCAAGATGGCTTCCTTGACGAAGGAGAAGACCAGGAGGATGCCGGAACGTTTCCCTCGCTTGCCTTTGGTGAAGTAGCTGGAGACCACGTCGTCTGAGGAGGCAAAGGAGGCCGGTCAGAGAGAGAATCAGCCAGGGGGGGGGTTCAAAACCACCCTCCCCCAGGCCCCCCCACTCATCCCACCCACTGCCGGCTCCAGGAAAGGCCCCTCAGGCACCCTGAAAAGAGAACAGAGAGTATCAGGGTTGAATAGGGGAGCGGGCTTTGCTCCTCCTTTCTCTACAGGTGGTCCTCAGACGTACGCCCCCCCCCAAATCGAGGCCAAAATTGTGGCTGCCAAGTGAGGAATTTGTGGAGCTTTTGCCCCCCCCCCCTCCAAATCTGACGAATTTCCTTGGCTTAACATTTGCTATTCGAATCTGGCTTCCCTCCGTTGACTTCCCTCGTCAGGTGATCACGGGACCTCAGGACATAAATACGAGCACCCAAATGGAAACCACGTGACCAACGGTTGTTAAGTGTGACCAATGGTCACAAGTCCCTTTTTTTTCGGGGCTGTTGTAACTTCGGATGGTCACTAAGCAAACCGTTGTAAGTTGAGGACTGTGTTTGTAGCTCAGAGCTGGACAGGGGAGTGGGTTTTGCCCTGTGTTGATATACCAGATTGTCCTGCCAAATAGGGGCGGGACGTTGTAGCCGGTTCCTTGATTAGGCCGTTGGCTCCTCCGTGCGTTGTGATGAAAACGCACAACTGCACAACACACACAGGCCGCTGCAGTTTCAAATGGGAAACGGTGGCCATCCTAGACCAAGTCCAAAACCAGTAGGGAGTTCCTGGGAGCCTGGCACTCTTTTGACAAATCGGCCATCCACAGGCACGTGGAGGTAAGCAACGTTTACACCCCATTCCAACTCTGTTATTATTCTTTTCTATTCAATCAAACAGTAAACAGAAACCTCATTGAGGAACGACCGGGAACATCCCCGCCAGAGGTGGCATTCTACCGCTTTGGAAAGGTTCCACGAACCGGTAGCGGGAAATCGTGGGTGGCCCCACCCACTCGCCCCGGCTCCACGCGTGCCATTTGGGCCCCTTCTTTCGCCAAATGCGCATGCGTGGAAGGCTGTGTGCATGCATGGAGGTGGCGTGTGGGGGCGAAGTGAGCGCACAGGCACACGCTCTCCCATTTGCGAACCAGTAGGGGAGCACCCCAGATTCCGACCAATGTCGGCCATAAACAGAGAGCAAATCCTGCCCCTTTCTGACACTGCTGATGTCCCTTTGCTGGGTAATGAAGCGTCTCGAGAGGAGCACCAAGGACCCTCAAGTCCTCCTCTTCCTCCTCTGCACAACCCCCCTACTCCCTTCCAACACTGATGACGTAGTTGGGCCAGGAGACGTCTGCGAGAAAACAGCCCGGCTCAGAGACCCCCAAGGACCCCACAGTTCCCCTGCTCCTCCCAGCAAACCCCACTCCCTTTAACATTGAATAGGCTACCTAGTTGGGCCAGGAGACGTCTGCGAGAAAACAGCCCGGCTCAGAGAACCCCAAGGACCCCACCTCAAGACCTCAGCCATCACGGCCCACGGCCGCACTCCCCCTGCCCCCCTCCCCTCTTTATGGAGAGACCCAGCACGAACTAAGCGACAGGTAAAGATTTTGTGCTGGGTGTGAATTCTGCGTGGGGGTCGCCTTGCCCCCTTCCCCGGGCACAAGGGGGGTGGGTGGGTGGGTGGGAGTGGCTGGACAACTGACCTCCAGGCTGCACGGTGGAAGGCAGGACGTTTTCGCCAGCCGACAAGGAGACGAAGAAGGCAAAAGGGATGAGCCAGAGGCAGAAGGTGAAGTAGGCCAGGACCTGAAGGAAGCGGGTGGGGTGGGGGGAGAGAAAGAGCATGAGACAAGCCCCAGTTCCTCCCCACAGCCACCCCAGCAACTCCCAGCTGCCACCCCAGAGCGCCCCCGGAAGGCCCAAAGAATCCGGGACCAGTTCATCCCATCAAGGACACATTCAGGACCATGGAGATGAGGCGTCCGAGTGGCTTAATCTGGCCAGCAAAAGATTTGGGGGGGGGGGTGCAGCCGAAACCCCAGACTGCCTTCCAAGACTACTCCCCCCCTCCCTGGGGCTACCGGCAGTCCTCGACTTACGACCGCCCTTCAGCCCAACATTTCTGTGGCCAAGCAAAGTATTTCTCAGCTGAGTTTTGCCCCCCTTTTAGCAGCACCTGCCCTTCTGACTAGCAAAGTCAGCAGGGGAAGCCAGGTTGCACTTAACGACTGGGTGATTCACTTAACAACCTCAAGCGATCCGCTTAACAACCCTGGAGCCAAAAAAAAAAGAAGCTCCCGACATCAGCTATTATGACTCAATGAGTAACGGTCTTGCTTAGCGGTGGAAACTTTGGGCTTGCTTGTGGCCATTAAGACGAGGACCTCCCCCCACCCACCCAGGGAGAAAAACACAGCGGGGTCTCGTGGCTTTACAGCCTCCCTCCCTCCTTCCTTCTCCGGAGCCCTCTTACCTCTGAAAAGGGATAATATTCCTCTGCAAAGTATTGAAAGGCCAGGTAATGGTTCAGCACAACCAGCACTGCCAAAATGGGGGCGGGGGGGAAGAGAGAAGGGGCTTCGGTCAGCAAGCGCGGACCCCGAGACCCCCCCTCAGAACCCAAACACTGCAGGGGGGGGGGCGGAGCTGTGTCGCAGGTAAAGCCGTCAGCGGTGGCAGAAATTCAGCAGCTCCCAAACGCTTAAGCCTCGCGATAAAAGTTTTGTTCGTGGGAAAAGGGGCTTCCGGGGTCCTCCCAATTTTCAGATTTTAAGGAGTTCCTGCTCTCTGTTTCTTTTCTTTTTTTAAAAAGTGTGTCCCTAGTCCTCATTGCGAAAAAACATTTGGCCACTTTAAGACTCCTGGACTTCAACTCCCAGAATTCCCCAGCCAGCCTGGTCTTAAGGCAGTGTTTCTCAACCTTGGTAACTTGAAGATGTCTGGACTTCAACTCCCAGAATTCCCCAGCCAGCCTGGTCTTAAGGCAGTGTTTCTCAACCTTGGTAACTTGAAGATGTCTGGACTTCAACTCCCAGAATTCCCCAGCCAGCCTGGTCTTAAGG